CCACCTGTTACGCACTTAATTCTTTAAACACTTTAATTGCCGTTTAGAAACTGTGTAAAGTAAATCGTCCCCTAAGTAGGTAGTCACCGGTGCCTTCATCATCAGCAGGAACGTCCACTGCTGAACAAAAGTCTCCACCGGTGCCCTATATGGCGATGAATGTGTTAAAGGCCCAGTTAAAACCACCTGTTCAATGTTTTCAGCTGATTCCTGGCCCCAAGTATTCGACGATAGTGAAGCCCGAAGGGACTGGAATTGGAAGCCAGAGGTCGGTTTGGAAGACCTTGTAACGCTGATGGTAAAGGAAGTTAAAGAGAAAATTGCTGCCAATGGACTATCATAGTGACAAAATGTTGTGAATTATACTTTTAACCATTTAAAAACAAATGCCACTCAAGCAGAAGTATCCTGTTTTTGTGTGGTGTCCGTTTCGTTGGTAAATTCACATAAGACAATGCCGTCCAGTTGGTGCATTTAATTGTCTTTTAAATGTAAATTAATTTTGAAGTAAATAATTTTAGATGCTAACGTCAGTTTTTTATTCGAAGCTCTATGGTTCCTGTATTTAAGAATCGAATATTATTGAGTCACAGATAATGTAGCAACATTGCATCCATTACCTAGGTCAAATGCATATCCTAGCTTTTACTTATACCTGTTCTCGTGACATTGCTCAAAGGAAAGGTTATTCAAGTTCTAATATTTACGATTATGTTTTCTCAACGTTTGTTTTTTTTTTTTTTGCTTAAGTAGGTTACCTTATATATGTAATGACGAGTTCTTGGAGTTGGTATCTACATTTAAATTGAGAAATGTTTATTACCAGCAATATTTTTTGTATCATTACTTTAGAGAGACATTCCTTGTTGATTTTTTAAATTACACGACTAAACTACTGATGGTTATGAGGTCCGAACGTGACTTGAAATTAGTCCAGTCGTAGTTGCTCCGTCAAATTTGAGTAAGTAAAAATAGTAGACAACTTTTCAAATACGGTATTTGATAACTAGTCAAAAGTACTGTTTCGAAAGCAAAACAGACTTATCTATGAATTTACACAGATTTGTGACATCATCGCATTTTACCGTCTATTCGACGGTATTCTTTTAAATATGACGTATTTTTTTAAATATGCTGAAAAAGCCGTGGAAAGAAACTATCATGCAATTTATCGTTACATCAATCAATGAAATACGAATAATATTTAATGGTATTCAAAAGTTGAAATAATTTTATGTTTGACTTAGGATAGTACCCTATCGGAGTGAATAATAAAAATATTGTGTGCGATTGTGTTTGATGCTTATGTCAAACTCATATGTCGAATATTTTATTTTCTCGATTCGACTAATTCTAAATAATAATTTAATTGGTATTCTATCTAGAGAAGCATCCAAGCAGGAAAGAAATAAAAGATATTAAATATTGATCAATTCCTTTATTTAAGCATAAAACAAAATAAAAATCACCTTTGCTTAAAGGAATAATAAAAACAGTGTTAAGCATGTACACGTTCGCTACCTACAGATACATAAATAAGAAAAAAGAAAAAAACACCCCCGCCATAAGTTGACATTGACAGCTACTAGAATTTACAAAGTGATGCACAGAGTAAAAATGCAAAAGAAAACAATTTGAAGAGTGGGGAACTTATGGCGGTGGTATAGAATGTCAAGAGGATGAAACTTAAAAATAAAAATGACTTCCAATTCACACTATACACAACTCAGTCTTCGTTACGTTACTCATCGGCAACACGGTCGCTTAAATTATACCTATGTCAATATTCACTAGATATGGACGTAACTTTACTATAGGCAGAACCTTCGTGGGCAGAACGATCATTTCCTTGCTCACCTATCAATGTTGCCGCGTAATTATTATGAGATGTATGCATAAAGTTTAAACTCTATTCTACTAACAATTTTAAATTCTAGTTAGGTAAAGTGGTGTTTCTGTGATTTTAGGACATTATCTATTTTCTAATTTTTCAAAATACTTACAGTAATTACTACGACAAATAATTTAACAATGCCTTTCCACCTTATAGATCTAAGTGTTATTTTTATTTATTACTAGCGCAAAAAAATGATATTAATACAGATACTTATATAAAAACAGAAATTTCTAGCCGAATCTAGCAAACTTAATTTTATTGCACCTTCTGTTTACTATAATAATTATCACAAATCGTACATTATACAGTCATTGTGAATGTTTGTTAATGGCACTTACTTCGTCTTACGTCGGGAAAATAGTATTTATTTAGAACATTGGATATTTAATAAAAAAAAACAATTGCCGTACTTAAGCTAAAATAGTGAAAGTTAGTACAAATTATTTTCATTTTTTAATTATTATTTATAAACTGTACTAAAAATTATGAAAAATTATGGCAAGTACATAATCGCCACTGAGTCAGACAAAGAAACATTCACAACAACAATGAAATTCGTTTACACTTTTAAAAACAAATTGGTAACATCTATACATAAATATATTGTACAAAATAAAACAAAACATATGTTGTTAAATACCTCCCCGCATATCTATACACAAACCACCGATTTATGATTGATGAAATCATACAAGTGATTCTGATTGGCTTAAATCACTTTGGCCAACCAATCACATACATTCATTACGATTGACCACAGATGAAATAATCACCTGTCAAAACTGAATGATATCCGGTATTTATAATATCTGACACCATATTATTATACATGGCAACTTATTTGTAAAATAAAATAAAAAAAATACAGAAGAAATGCAATATACACATGTGGTATAAATGAAGCAAATTAGTTAAGTACATAAGTTACATATAAAAAATGCAATTAGATACAAAACACGGAATAATTATATAGAGTAAATACAATACAACAATCACTGAGGATATTGGACAGATAATGATAAAAATACAACTAGCGGTTGCCCGCGGCTCCGCCAGCGTTGATGTTAATTTTTCAAGATTTTTGTTTTTAATTTTCTCTACATACAAAAGCCTTTTCTGGATTTCCACGAACAATCCACGGCCAAAATTAGCCAAAACAGTACAGGCATTATTGAATATTGAGTTATAACATTACAACGAAAAGTGGCATTGATTTTTATATACAGATAAATATTCGACTTTTTCTATACTGGTGATATTTTCGTTTTTCTAATGCGATAAACGCGGCGATTTATTAGAACAAGATCTAATTTTAATTGAGGCCATTAATTATTTAGATGTAGAGCGATGCACAACAGTCAGTATTTTAGTTATTGGCTTATTAAAATAAAAATACTACATAATATAATATAATTGTGACGCATTAGTTATTAAAAACAATGTGGCCACAGTAGATTTGGTTAATAGAATATTGTTTGAGTGACTTCGCGTTGTAGAGGGCGCTAATGTAGTATTAAGTACCTTTGAGGGAACTTGTGACAGCTTTGACTAAAGACGCCTTATTAGCGCCAAGTGAATAGTTTAAAATTAAAAACTCTCTGTGGCTTAGCAAGTAAAGATCTGGGTTTTAGGCGCCTAAGTATAGAAGCTCAGCGTAGGTACTTCATCTTTACAATTCAGTTACTAACGCCAAACATATTTTAATGGCTTCATTTTTCTACAAAACAATTAAATATTTATCTTATTATTGTCTTTAATAGAAACCTTTTTGTTAAAGTATTGTTGTTTTAGAACATATCTAAAATATGTTCTTGTATCTACATTTAGCTACACTTATTAAGTATTAAGTTCATGTCTAGCTGTTACTACTACTATACAGAATAAGGTTTTTATTAATCAACTAAAGAGTTTTAATTCAAAATATTTGATAATTTAGCGAATGTGTCAACATTTTCCGCGCCACATCTGAAAAGTTTTATCGACGCATAAAAATGCGTGATACGTGGCTTTTAACACCACTGGCTTGTCTTTTAGATAATTCAGATATATTCAAAAGTTAACAATTAATTAGTAAAAGCATTAAAAATACATATTCGTTGTGATAATAGAACTTCACTTCGTAACGTTATTCAAAGAAATATTAGCTCAATTTAAGCATATTCTAAAAAAAATACACCGAAGCAATAACTCTGTGTAAGTGATTTTTTCGACCATACTAGCTTTCCAATTTATAAACTCAACGCTAAAGCACAATGGAGCTTGCGTAATTCGAATGTCTACATCTTCTTTCAGTTAACTAAATTGGACACATTACTATCATATTTGACATAAAGACTTCCACATTCAGTTAATGCGTAGCAAAAGTGCTAATAAAAAATATCTACGTGAATTGTGACGTGATGTAAATGCTTGTGATTTCTTTTTAAAATCATAATAATAATTGTGAGTACTGGCCCGAAGGGAGACTGACAGATTTAAAAATATATGGATTATTCAGTTTTACGTAATTAGAATGTATATTAGTATGTAGTATAGTCTATATTGAACTTTTTTGGAACGGCAACCCACGCGTGAATAACCTTTTGACAGTTACATTGAATGAACTAATTAATACCTACTCACAATTTTTTTTATTTCTCAAGTTTTGTAATTTAGTTTTTCACTTTTTCCGTCGAAATCCAATACTTATCGGTGATATTTTTGACAAGTACATTTTTTTTATTTTAGTGGCAAGCATAATTATTTATGAATTGTGTTCTTAAATTTTGAAACTAAATTCCTTTAAATATTAGGACATCTTCACATGTAAAAATACTAAAGGTTAAAACTTAATTTGGTTACAAATAAGTAGATTTCGTTTAAAAATTAAGTGACGGTTGTCCTCTATAAAAGGTCAGAGAAGGCAAGGCAAGTTTTATAAGACTAATAATTAGTTAAAAAGGCTTAAAGAGAACATGGACGAAGTTTAAAAATCAATGGATTTTAGGAAATGTCTTATATAGATTTAGATAAGAAACTAATGATCGACTGATTCATGAACTACATAAGTATATCCATCAAGGTGAATATTAAATTACATCAAAAAACGTGATTCTAAACCGTGAAGCTTTTGTTAACGTGTTATTTTATTGCAAGCACTAATAAAAAGTATGACGCGCGCGCTATGTAACTTTAGCGGCCATTTTTAAAATGTTCCAATCAATTATTTACATTTATCCGTCTCGATTGTTGCTTGCTGAAAATCGTCCCATTTTTCATATTAAAAAAATAATTATTATAAATAAATCACTGCGTCATATGCTTAAAAATTAGATTCCTCGTATTCCATCATAATGATAGCAAAAATATTTTTGATTTATCGATACCTAGATAATTGACTTGATCGATTATTCTGCCTTTATGTGCTGTCGCTGTTCCCTGTTCATGTTCATTTCTTTCAAACGTTGTCTGAGCTGTGCCTTCTTTAGGTTTGTCATGATCTGCGTCGACTGGTATAGCCAGGAGCCCTGTAACATTAAAATATATCTTTGAATTGTTGTTCAAACTCGCGATATCATCTCGAATGCATTATGTTTCCTCGATCTAATAAAACGAAATAAGCCATTACTTTCCAAATACTTATATCATCTAATTATAATCGATTATATTTAATGGAGAGACAATTAAAACAGAAATGAAAAGAGATCATCAATAAAACAGTAGAGTCCCTATCCCTCCCCCTACTCCCATTCCTTCACAATCCTTAAATATCCGAAACCTTTATCCCTAAAAGGCCTTTTAACCTTTATCCCTTTCGCGGATGTCTATGGGCGGCACTGATTGCTTACCATCAAGTAATACGGCTGCTCGTTGGCCGAACTAATTACCATAAAAAGAAGAGTTCGAATGTCTGGACTTAGAAAAACATGCTTGAAACCAAGTACAGGGATTTTGAAATAGAAAACCGAAAGGCTGACATTTTATAAAAATGAGAACTTAATATAAATGACTAACATTAATCGACTCATTCGTTACAGAACTATTTTTTATTATTATTAATTAATGCATAAGCTTCTCTCGTTTTGTCTAACCAACATATCGGCTTTGGGTAATTAATCATGGGATTAAAAAATGCATGGATGCATCGCGATATCAGAAAGTACTACCTACCATATTATTACGACGCAATACAAAAATAATAACAAACACAATCAAAAATTAAATCAATTCATCATGATGTCATCTATCTACAATAATATTATCAATTATATATTATCAACTTACCACCATTATCATGCAGTTTAGCAGTATAGGGATGGAGAATACGACTGATATGAACAGTCCTTTACTATCAAAGTACTGCTGCCTTGAGAATAAGGTCCAGTTTCGCGCAGCAACCTCGTTAATGTTCTCCGAAAAGTATACTAGCAACACTGAAATATAATATAGAGATAAAATTATTAATAGGTACTTAAAATAATAATAATAACACATTATTGGTTGTTTGAATTCTATTTTTAAATTGCTTGAGTGATTTTTTTATTACCGTCAGGAGACTAAAGCTTGGAGCGCCTGGTAATTGGTTACTATAGCATAAATACACCTTCTACCAAAGAAATCATTAATTAATTAAATCTAGCTTTTCCCGCGCGGTTTCCATACGATCGTAGCGCGATGTTTTATAGCCTATATGTATATACTAGCTTTTGCCCGCGACTCCCTTCGCGTGAAATAAGTAGACACTTTCTGCAGATTTTTGGTATAAAATCTATCTTATGTCCTTTCTCGAGTTCCAAACTGTCTGTACCAAATTTCACAGAAATCGGTTCAGTAGTTTAGACGTGAAGAAAAAAAAATAGACAAACAGACAAAGTAATACTTTCGCATTCATTGTTCAAGGATATTAGAAGTAGAACAATAATACTTTTAAGTAGTGAAACTGCAATATTTTTAATTATAGTTAATAAATATTATTATAGTACCAAGTTATAAGGAAATTACTGTTAAATATCTTTGTACATAATCATAGGACAAAATCTGTTGAATCATGGACGTATACAATTATGTAAATAAAATAGACAAGAAGGGATAGATGTATATATATACTACATAACACCTACTTTTTACATAGTAGAGGAGGGTGCTTCTACTACTGCATATTTAGCAAAACAAAGGCTATTTTTTGCTGACGAGATGGCGCTAAACTGGTATTATAGTTATGCAATTAAACGGAGAATTAGCTATGTTTTACTAAACCATTGGACATTGGCTTATTGACAGCTGTATTACTGCTGTGACGTCAACGCTCAACAGCTATTTTTTGACACGTATTGCAATCAAATCTCATAGTTTTTAAGTGTTCTACTTATCGTACTAAAAACCTATCTTAATTGGTGCAGATAACAGTCTGAAAGTCAAGTAAATACAATAATAATCTCAGTTCGCTTTATTTATATCCAATTTAAAAAAAGAAAGCGAAAGTAAATTATACTAAGTACGATTTTTTGCCTTTTACTATTTTGGTGATTTGTTTTGAATTGGCTTACGTTTACGAATGTACTTTGGCAAATTTTTCTGCAGCCGTAGCACGCATATAAGAGATCGAAGATAAATAATCAAGATTTTTTTTTTGGAAAATCGTCAAATGATTTCTCTCGCACTCAGTACGGCGGGAGGGAGTATCAGACTCTTACTGACTAAAAATCCCCCATTGTTTCTCCTTCTTCTGGCTGAGGCCCGGTACCATATCACAGATGAGCCCATCAAGTATGATCACCTTGGGGCTTCCTTTTCGGCCTTAGAAAACTTTTCTCTGTTCCTTAAAAATCTGTTTTAACTTATGTATGTAGGTACAAATAAGTTGGTGGATTACATAAATATGGTTATACCGCTGTTACGGCTTACATTTCATCATATTATTATTGCTTTTTCTTTTTACCTGATTACATTTTATTAGTACTGATTTTTATCGTACAGAAGTAAAATCGAAAATAAACAGAAACTAACAGTTGCTTCAGACAGACGTATTGATCAACATGTGTTATATTAGAGTGAGTTTATTTTTTACAACTTTTGCACTCCACGTGAGGGGCCGTGACCCTGCATTAAGGATTATAGGCGGCAGTGATGCTGATGACGAAGCCCATGCATACATTGCAAGGATACAACTTCATTTAACTATGCCAACACTAGCTGAATATGGAATAGCATTAAGCCATTTTGAGCATTTGTGTTCTTGCGCAATTTTAACACCATTTTGGACATTGACGGCTGGTCACTGTGTACAAGACAACATCACAGATTCTTATGTTAATGAAAAAATTGGAGAGGTAAAATTCGAATATATTATGATTTACGGTCCCATTAAAAAAACTACCACGGCAAAAATTCTGCAATGGATGCGACATCCTGCCTATAAGAGATCGATTGCGGATCTATTATTTTACGTGTACAACGATATAGGTTTGATAAAAACCGAAGAAGTTTATCTGAGGCTGTATGGCCATATTAGTGGGATGGATTACACAACCTTGATTGGACATGAGGCGATTGCGACCGGCCACGGGAAGGTGAACATATCGGGAATAATCAGCAGCGCCACATCTATGGGAAAACCCTTACAGAAGTTAGAAGTTCTTATGGTCAAATGTAGTAGTGTCTATGAACATGTTCGCCCAAAGTTATGTATATCGCGACGTTGTGACAAGCAGTCCCATGTGTGTCCAGGAGACTCAGGTGGACCGCTCCTGCATTCCTCAGGTATCGTTGGTGTAAACACCGCTGCACCAACTATAGCTTGTCATCCGTTAAACAACGTATGGTTTTCAGAAGTAGGTGGTATAACACCTGTCAGTCCATATGTTGATTGGATAACCCATATAATTAATAAAGACGTTTAACTTTTGATGCAGTTTTACGTGAAAACTGCATCTACACAAGTCAATATTGTCTCATGGTAGTAGTCAAGACTACTACGATTCCGTATATCTAAACATGAACACGGAATTCCATCATATCAGAAATAAGTACCTACCAACGTATCAAATAATAAGTAGTTTTACTTTTTAGTTTTTAAGCTTGTTTTTTATTCAATTCAACTACAATAATATAATAAAGTTTCAGCATTCACGAAATAACTTTCACTATTTTGACGCAGTGCCAAATTGACGCAGAGGCGCTTTCTGCGGTACCGATTTCTTGTCTCCCGATATACGTACTCTATGAATGACGTAGAATCTAGATAAAGATGTAAACACGTCGTCTATACTCCCTCTTCATGCCAAATACATCCTGATTTTGTTTTTGAATGGATGTCAATATGGTCGAAAGTTGCAGTAGTCAAAATGCTAATGAGACCCGGATAGCAATTTTATCTATCATCCCCAAAATGCTTATGGACCATTTACCGAAATTACATACCGAGCCCTCTTCCTCTCACTTACTACCTCTGCTGTGCCCGATAGGGTCCATAGTGATTCTGGTATATTTTTATTTATAAGACCTAATGTACACTAGGGAACGCAGTAAAGTATTGAGTACTGATATGTATGGGTGCAAATCTAAACATATATCTAAGTATAAATGTAGAGAATACCCCATTTGTTCTAAAATGAAAACATTTATCGTCTAAGTTATTTGTAATGGGTGACCTCCAAAGAAATTATATACTAGCTAGGAATGGAGCCATTTTCTAGTTTGTACGACGGCTACAAATTGGTATCGCGACATATCATGTATAATGGGTACTTTGTATTAGTTCCCTAGTCGTCAAGACAAATGACGGTTGGGACAGACCGCAATTGATTTACGAGTCTTTGTAATACTAGTCAAGTCACCCAGGAAAGATTATTGTAGCCAAGTAATAATGTAGATTATGAGCACAATTTAATAATCTCGTCTGTTAGTATGTAACATTACGCATATTACATACTAGCGGCCCGCCCCAGCTTCGCACGGGTCCAACTATCTCGCAATCAAAGGGTCACTTTTTCCTAATCTTCCCCTCTACTTTTCTAATATTTTCTTTGATAAGAACCTTCTCCTGACAATAACAAACACAACAAAAAAAGAATTAGCGAAATTGGTCCAGGCGTTGGTGAGTTATGCGCTTACCAACACATTTTGCGATTCATTTTTATATATAAGAGAAGATTAAGCGCATTAGCTACAATACAATAGTAAAAACAGTACTAATTATAATTCAGGCCAGTCACCGCCTAAATGTAGAACGAAAATAAATATACTCACATAATATTATGAACAATATCACTTGAAAGTTTCCATAGTTCCTAGTTGAGAAGCATGTGAAGGTAATTATGATGTGGAACGATATCAACGCTATTAGCCATGGGTCGCGCCATTCAATCTGAAATCAAAATTAAATTAACATTAGTTGAAACGTTTTAGGAACAATATTATCATAATCGCCAACCTGAACGCGTCTACTGAATAGAGGCACTTCTTTTCTAAGAGGGGATATTTGCTTTCCTACAATTTCCAGGTTTGGATTTTTGAAAAACATGCGAATTCAGTTAGGGTTACCGCAGTTTGAAAAAATATTGCTATCCATTCCTCCTTATTTGATCGCAGTTTAAATACATACCCAGGTGCGAATTTCAATTAAAAATATCGAAAACCTCATTTGTAAGGATTCTAATCACGGCTCAGACGATACAAATGTTCGAATGTAACTCGAATTGGCGTAAAGCTGAGCAAATCTATATTATTATAAGAATGTAATGTGTACCTACTTTCAGTCTAGCTCTGAAGCCGTATAATATTTTAACGCCAAATGTACAAATGTAGGCTGAATAGGTAGACATATTAAAGAAATGTTTCACAACTTTCATTAAAGTACCCGATAAACTTATGTTCATATAAATTACCTTTCATCTATACTAATATTTTAAAGAGGTAAAATTTGTAAGTTTGTATGTAGGGGGTAATATTTGCAACCGCTGGTCGGATTGTTAAAATTCTTTCACTGATAGATAGCTACAATATTCCTAAGTGCTATAAAACATCACGCTACGATCAAATGGAGCCGAGCAGCGAGTGAAACCGCGCGGGAGTAGCTAGTACTTCATATAAATTACTTTTCATACACTCTTTACTCACATGGCGAAACAAAATGGAAGCGTAATTTTACGCTGGGTTTCTGTAAGACCTTTGAATCTATCTCACAGCTTTTGCGCGTCGGAACAAATACAATAGATGATGTAGGAATGACAAATAAGAGATTTCGTAAAGTCTAAAGCTAGTCTACTGCCATCTGCAGAGAAATTTCTAGAAAATTGACAATACTCTTATCGAAGTAATCCTTTGTTTCGAAAAAAAAACAAACAAACACACTACGTATTCCGTGCGTTTTATCGGTCAAGGTTACTGAAATCGATGAAGATAGCTTGGCATATCGATTTAATTTAAAAACGTGATATTTTAATCATGTTGTTGATTATGGAAACGTGATGATTCGAAGTCGTCCGTTTGATTACACGATAACTTACCAGACAATGGCTTTATGTCACTTAACACAATATTATGAGTGGTTAATAAAACTACCTAGTAAGAAATTAAGTAAATATTACGATTAAGATTAATACAAGACCACGGACATAGCCGTAACTAATCTTTAATCTGTCTATAAAGCTGAAAAGCTTAATGTTGGATTGTTAAAACGCGCTAGTCTCTGAAACTACTGTTTCGAATTGGTTATTTTATGTTATAGGTCGCCAAACGAGCATTCGGATTACCTGATGGTAAGCAATCAGCATGCACGTGCACGTGTCATTGGGATTGCGACTTTTTTATAAAATGCAGTGATGATTAAACTCAATAACGGAATAGACTAAATAGTGCTATTAAAAGTATGCGATATTTACAAAACGCACGAAACGTATGCAGTATAGAACAAAGACTGCTTACAATATCATAACGAGATATTATTATGGTTTTTTTATTGAGGTGTACATTTTAAAAGCACCTATAATGGTAGCCATAGTAACCTGGTTTAATCAATTTGTAAAACGGAGGATAGCAAACAGATATAAAGTTTTTAACAACAAGTTTTTAATAACAACCCATGTAGACTGCTCCAGTGACCCTCGACCACATCGAGAACATGAGAGGTTATTGCTACCAAGTTGCAGTACTCACGATCAATACCCCACTGGGCCCGCTCATATAAGTAGCGTTGATATAGTTTAAACCACGTACGTATATAAGTCATTTAGAAGTTCGTATAAAAAAAAATATTGATTCAATACAGAGACAGAAAATTTGGTTGGCCTACAGCTAATCATACTTTTTTTAAAAAGGCAATCATCCGTAGACCTTCTGGCCTAATCTACGTTGAGGCACCCGCTTTTTGTTTATAAGGGTGCGGATTCCAAACCTGGCAATTACGAATGTGACTTATTCCGAGTTACAAATACCTACTTTCTAAGATTATTTAGATACCACTGATAATACGATGAAGAAAAACATCATGAAGAAATATGGACTTACAAAATTTGAAATCTCCAATCCGCCTTGAGCAAGTGTGGTGATTAATGCTCAAACATTCTCCGTGTGAGAAGAGGCCGTTGCTCAACAGTGGGCACTTATAGGCTGATGATATGATGATGTGAATCATCCTAAGGGTGCTGGGTGGGCTGAGGGCGAATGACTGGCTGAATAAACAACCAAACCATTCCGGTAAATCATTACTCTACCGGCAACCCTGACTGGGCTACCAAATAGTTTCATGATACATGGCTTCGGATCATTGAAAAGCTCTAGCGTCGTTATTTTACCGGAATAGGTACTCAAAATAATAAGTTACTACCTACACCAATTTCTTAATAAGTTTCTAATGTCTAAATCTACTTGTGGAAGGCAGTCAGAGGTACGTAGGTTCATGAGTTGGTGTATGTAATTGAAAAACTAATTTCGAAAATGAATAATGTCAATGCTTTATTAGCATAACCAGATCTTCGACCGGTTTAGTTAGAGGCGGCATTTTGCCTATCAATTTACGTGACTTTCTTTTGTAAGCCAAATTATTGGAAGATCTGGATTCTCTTTAACTTACAATTTACGGTACGCAAATACACAAGTGCATTTGAGCACTTAATCATGAATGCATTTAAAGTAATAAGTTCGTGGGAAAATCCCAAAGACTTTTTCTTTGGGATTTTTCCACAATTTAATGGACAGGCAGCGTTTTGTTTGCTACTGATAACGACTTTCTTTTGCCCTATAAAGATTATCACGCTGGCCGACGGAATTTTCCTTCTGCTTGAACTTATTACTTTAAATGTTAAGTTGGTGCTTAACTAACCTGAGTGGCTAATGGGAGTTTTATTACATTACTGCTATCGAAATGTTATCGCGTTTAGCCCTCTGATTGATTGGTTGGTTGAGTTGGGTCCGGCCAATCACAGCGCCAAACGTCATATATAAGTACCTGTCGATGGGCTTAAAGTAAAGCAGACTTGCACTAGACCCTCAATACAATCTGTACATTACATTTACAATAATAACTATACAAACGAAACTCTAACAAATCTAGATGTTTTAGAACTCACACCGACGTGTTATGTAAAATCGCAAGCGTTTTGAAGAATTTTGTATCTGATTATAACATTATTTATACATACTTTAGTAAAAATCATAATATCTCATTAAGCATATAGAAACGGCTGCAGTATATAAAACATGCATCACAGAGCTAAAAACCAACACTTACAAGACCTTACACGACTGATGTTCAACCGGGGCCTTGCAGGACAAGCGCAATAAGGCACTGCGGCCTCGGCCTAAAGAAGGATAAGAGGCAGGGGGGAGGTTTTTAGTCACTAAGACTCTGACTCCCTGTCGCCTTACCCTAGGCGAGATACATTTGTCGATGTTCTCCTCATCACAAAAAAAAACAGTATATAAAATATGGAATAAACAAAGCCTGGATAATCTTCAAACATTATATGGACGTGAACAATTGACCAATTCTGTGTTTGTTTATGTAACATTATAATACTTAACTGCCTAAAATAAAACTTTTTACACTGAAATATAAAAATGGCCGCGTCATTATGTAAATATCAACATTGTTTAATGATAACATTTTTCATCAATGATCTCATAGGTTGTTACTCTGTTTATATACTGTTGCCAAGTGGTTTGTTGTTGAGTTAGAGAATGTTGTTCAACAAAATTAGCCCGAAAACTAGAAGATAGATACAAATTAAAAAAAAAAAACGTGTTTTTGTAATTGAACGGATCAATAAACCAATTTCATTTAACAAACAACTAAATTATCGTTGTTGGGTATTGCTATTTGGACACTATCATTAAAATTCAGTACAATTATAATACTTTAACAAGAAGTCAGGACAAGTCAAGGATTTTAGAATAAACTTTACGAAAAAAAGGCTCAGATAGAGCCTTATGAATATGAATGAGGCAAAAATACGAATGGCAAGACCGGGCTTATTTCTGCCAAACTACATGAACAAGAATCGTGATATACCTAATACAAAACTAGCCTAACGAAATTACAAGTGAACGTCATATCGAAGTCTATTTTGAACCGATAGCGCCAGTTCAAGGTCATCGCAGCTAAGTATTTAGCAACCATTGCGGTTTTAGAGCATCGTTTGAAGTTGTAATGTTTTAACCGCATTCATACAGTCACGGAATAGCGCAGTATTTGTTAATCATTACCATGTTGCTAATCAGTCTTTGGGCTCCATTTTAAAATGCAACAAGACACAGGGTATGTTTCATAATGTCTGATTAGCTTCCGTTAGTCTTTTTACAAATGGGTCTAACTTCAATAGACGATGTAAAACAATCGGTCAGTCAGTAGAAAAACACTTTAATAAAATTGTAGCCTGTTGTCACTTAATGTAAAGCAGATGTATAAGTCAAAAAGAAGAACTTTTTAATGATACATCTGCTTCCTATTGCTGAATCTATTCAAATCAAAATTTGTTTTTTTGTGAGGGGAAAATCACCACCGAAGCCGATGCCTTTTTGCACTAGCCCTGTAAACCCGGCTGAACATCAGCCCTACAGTGCACTGTCTGTGGTAGTCTATTGGCTCTTTGTTGAGGCGCGCGCAGAGGCTTGGTTTGGTTCTGATTCGTCGGCAGACCCACGCTTACGGTGGCCGGAGATCGTCTCTCGATGGCCTGAGTGTCACCTACTGCGGCGGGTGGGGTGTGAGGAGCAGGATAGCTCCCTCTCGCGGTCTGCTCCTTTTTGGCGAGCATAATTGCTTCACATAAAGAGGAGACAGCCTCCCAGTTCCTCCCGCTCTGCACCATAGCCTCGACTAAGGCCGGGCGCGAAATCCAAATTAGATAATGTTTCATTTAATCTTTGCGGGGCTCAATAATACAAGATTCATTAGCAATAAATTGCGCATGTGAATCGTGTTCGCAACTTATGACCTTGGTTAATATTTGATGAAGGTCGTGAACACGTTTACTTAATGTCATTTTCCTCTTTATAATCTGTATGCAGAACAATAAATCTGGTTACTTAATTCGAACGTTGTATTATTTTAAATTATAATAATAGTTAGTTGAATTAAAATTTATACTAATAATTATAACGAGTTTGTTTGACCGCGACCGGAGATTAGCTCCGGAACTACTGGTCAAATAGAACAATTTTTTTTTGTTTAAAGTCTATTTATCGATGAAGGCTCTATGTATAGTCTATAAAACATCACGCTATGATCTGTAGGAGCAACGCAGCGGGTAAAGCCGTGCGAGAGAATCTAGTATGTTTATATTTTTGCATATTTCTAGCTCAATTCTTAGTTTACCTGTTTTCCAAACTGCAGTAAACACAATGCAAAAATAACAATGCGTCATTGCGTAATCTGGCTCGTGCTAAAATCACTTCTTTTGCCAAAATAACTTATCAAGCCAGCTGTAAGTATTAGATAAAAGATATGCTAGGGCTTAAAGACTGGTTGTATCAAGAAATAATAAAACCTTTTAGGTACCTATACATATTATGATATTATTTAATAAGTACTACAATACTTGACATGTAATGTAAGCCAAATTGATACGTAATAAACATATTTAATTATTCTATTTAAAAATTTTACAATCTAATTCTAAACTAATACTGTGCATATATAAGATCAGGATGTTTGTCTCCATTGAATAGGCTTCGAAACTATGAGACAGATGTTAAACATTCTTTGAGCCGGGGTAGGTACTGTACACTACGACGCAAAGTACGCTGAAAGAGTAAAAATTTCGTAATTGGCAGATCTTTTAAAGCGTCACTTAGCACCGAATAGGTCGGCTCCACGGGAGTGATACTACGGCCTCACAGAAAACCAACGTAGAACTACCACAGCGTTGTTTCGCTGTGTGAGTGAGGTTACCGGAAGCCCAATCCTTCCCTCCCCCAATCTCCTCTCAATCCCTAAATCTCCAAATCCCAAATCCCTAAAAGTTCGGCAACTCGTAACTCCTCCGTTGCGGGCGTCCATGGGCGGCGCTGAGTGCTTACCATCAGGTAATCTGTCTGTTTGTTTGCCAATCTACTACATTCATATATGAAAAAAAAAAAACTTAGCCTCTCAGTGTGAGTGCACTGAACCTAACATAGGTTACTGTTTATAAACAAATTAATGTTTAACATTTGTATTCTAAGTTTATAATAGATAAAATTTTAGAGTCAATTTTATTAGATGTGTGTCACTGTGTAAATAATGTATAAAACACCTACTTTACCACTGACCTCGACCAAATATTACATTGCATGATTCAAGGTGACTAGGTAAATAAACAACTTCCTAAGTAATGTAATATTTATGTAAGTTTTTATAACATAATCATTTCAATCCTTATAATGTAATGTTATTAATTTAATAACTTTTAATAAAAATCTGAATAAAAAATTTTTTACTGTTGCTATGCAGAAAACTCAAGAACAGATAAACCAGTTGAGCTAATTCATGGTTTAAGTACAGTCTGTGGTAGAGATACCTAAACCTAACAATATTGTCTGCCAAACACAAGAGATTGGCATTTGTTTATTAAATGTTAGATTGTCACACATTAATTCTTTTCTCATTATTGCAGGGTCCTTCTAATCAAACAGGCTTGATTGCATAGCTATGTATATCTACTATTTATTAATTTATTTACAAATTAATACGGCATTTCACTGTCATAAAAGAAAAAAGAGTTAAACTTTTAAATTGAGTGCTATCAGTATATGAATAAAAATATCCTGTTATCACAAAATAGTTCAGTTTTTAATATTTTTGTAAAAGATAGTAACAACTCATGTTGATAACCCGACACAAGCAAATAATAATAATTATGACATAATTATTTTTATCACACAACAATGCAATTGCTAAAGTTAAGAGTATAATGCTATTTTATACTACAGTGAAAAATATCAAGTGGTTTTAGAGTATGAATTTGGTAAAAAAATCCTACTAATATAAATGCTTTTTTTGTGGACGGGAAAATCATGAAATGACTTCTCCCGCCCAGGGCCGGGCTGGGAGTGTCAGACTCTTACTGACTAAAAACCTACCTGTTCCTTTTCCTGCTCTGGGCCGAGGTCGGGGTGCCTCATTGCGCTTTACCCCGCAACCCCGGCAATATAAATGCTTAAGTTTTTAAGTATATAGGTAAATAGATAGGTGGAACAAAACATAAACTACTTTTTTTTTGGTATTTGGAGCAAAGTGAGGATAGGCTCTTTTTTAACAAATAAGTTGTGATTTTTTTTAAGTTTTGTAAATTCAATTCAATTATTATCTTACTAATATTACTCCAAAATTGTAAATAATTTTAAGCATATTTACACTGACTATCTAAATTAATTGTACAATGTGTTGCTAAGTGCTAAAATGTTAAAGCATACTTACTCTATTCAATTAAGCTAATAGCCTCAGGTTGGATTCAAGAGGGTAAGGCAGCTGCCACCTACAATATACAGTGTGTTGTACCTATCTGCTAGGTCAAGTTTAAATTGCTTATGTAAAGGTATAATATGTTAATTTTAAAAACCTTTGCTCTTTGTAACCGGCAAAACAATAGTAAAATGGTAATTAGACAGGTACCGCCTGAGAAATGAGAATTCTGTAGGCCACGGTTGCCAAGGGACTCGAGAGGGCCACGTAATTCACAATGTAAAAGCCCAAATGAGTACACTTTGAGTAATTATTAATTTAATCATCAATTAAGTCTCACATTACATATACTAAAATAGTAACACAGAAATCGCTATTCGTATAAGTTCACCGTATAGTGTTAGTACAATACATAATGCCAATACTCACACTGCGGAGGTACGATATAAAATCCGATATTTGGTTTACTTCCACAAATTCCTCCATGTTGAAAATTTACACGTAACACGTAAACACAAACTACTTCAAAATTTCTATTTTAAGTAAACGGTGTCTTGATAACACGATATTTATTCAATCATCACATCAATGAAATGAATGACATGGACAGTGAATGACTCTCACTCACGAGCTGGCAGTTGAACAGTTGAATGAACTGAACCCTACGTTGAATGACAATTTGTAATTTGACATAAATGACATCCACCACTGTGCCACTGCCACGGTTTATTGCCATAAGAAATATTAATTTGGTTCGTAGTACAATACGGAAAGAGCCTATAAATAGAGCGTTTGTTGCTCTTGCTGTTTTTACATTGTGAACTCTAGGAAAGAATTACAGCAAGGCAAAAAAGAAAAAGAAAATATGTGGAAAAATTGAAGTTGCTACGGCCACCCCAAATTATGTGTTATACATTCTAACAGTCTTGATACTTTTGACAATTAACATTTATTAATAACTTTTGTTTAAAAACTTTAGCAATAATTTGAATTGCAAATTTTTAATACTTACTTCTGCAAGTCTAGGTGTTTATATATGCTAGTTTCTATTTTTGTATTTGTAAACGCATCCACGATACCTAAGTTCCAAAACTTTGTTATGTTTGTTATTGTCAGGAGAGGGTTCTAATCAAAGAAAATATTAAAAAAATATAGGGGAAGATTAGGAAAAAGTGACCCTTTGAGAGAGAGAGATAGTTGGACCCGTGCGAAGCGGGGGCGGACCGCTAGTTATGTATATAAATCGCGTATACGTCAACTATATACTATTTTTTCCTATACAGAGTGTTTATTATACATATTATATGTGTATTTTAGGTATATCTACCGAGTATAATTTAAAAATATTGTCTTTCAGGCAGCAAGCCTTTTAAAGTATAATAACGGCTAAAGATTAGAAAAAAAATCGGGTCAACACGTAGATAAAATTGAAATTAATATTAAATAGAAAAAAAATCAATGCTTGCTGCAACTTTTTTGAAATAAAATTAATTTTTCAGTTTACATTTATTCTGCCATGTATCAAGACCGGCAAACACGCTGTATTCAGGGTAGCCATATGACTTGCAGTAGCACCCTCAATTTATCCACACTCTTTTTTGCCATACTGCACCATATAATTTGTTGTCAAATTATTTAAAATAATTTATTTATTAGGCAAGTTAGTATTTTAGTGTAATAAGTTTATTTTGTAAATTAAATTAAAATGTTTTTGAAGTTGTGCTCCTTTTCCTGTCTTTCCTATTATAATCTTTTTTGTAAGATTGGGGTTCTATGACTAAACTTGTATCTTAATTCATTCAGTAGTCATACATTAATCGTTTGTATAGCCTATGTTCAGTAACCCCAGTCTCTGACTAGTTTATAGTTATCTGTGACTCCCAGTCGAAGTCGAACGAACGACGAGGGACGGAATACATTCGCTCGTTCTATAATTTTTTAACTAAAACAAATTTTGTAGTGCTTTGTTCCAGTTATTTAAGTGTAATTTAAGTGAACTTCTGATAAGAAAATCTATTATCATTCGATTAAACAATATCTTTCTTCGTAACATGTTTCAAGTAAGTCGTCTAAGTGATATTTTAAGAATGATGTTTGAATAAAATTACTGACTTCTTCCACAAAAGCTCGCAAGCCGGCAGCGAAATGCCGTACAATAACATAGTAACAACGACAGCAGGAATTCTAACAGCATGTGTAATAATATTTCTCCATGATGCACAAGTTTTGGGTAATTTGGTAAATCGACCCAGTGATAGATATACTCTAGATGTGTCTGGTTGCGCTTTGTATCATAAGCTGTGTTCGCACTTGGATGATGATCTTGCAATACTATCCTGCGCTCTAAATGCGTCATACAACAAAACACAAGTTTTAATAGTCTGTCAACACAAACTGTGGAGTCACCAAGCTGAACTTTTAGACAATGACTATGTTGAATATAAACTGAAGGAGCCATGCCAGGAAGAACCTGTAATAACAAATTGCCTTAGTTCTAACACAATAAACGAATATAAGATTGATTGTGTACTGAAAAAGAAATCAAGTGTAAGGAATAAAAAATGTTGGAGGATAATAAATAAAATAGAATCTCTGGTATTCAATGACTGGCAAATCATAGGCAATTTTCTGAAAAACTGTTATGATGATATAGAAGCTCATACTTGTGGTAGAATACCACTTAATCCAAGAAGTTTATCTCAAAAGCAAACCTTAAAATGTTTGCAAGAAAAAGATGTGAACCCTAGACCTGAGTGTCAAGCTGAGATAACTGCGCTTGAGGAAATGAAGTATGACAATCTTCAGCTAGATAAAATCATATTTGCCGCTTGCAATTTGGATCAGAAGAACTTCTGCCCTGATGAAGTGCCAGGATCATGGCTGATGTACAAGTGTCTTTTGAGGCATAAGTATGAAAATGGTGAATATTCTTACTAATAATATAATTATGCTTTAGTGCAATGCAGAATCATAACTGAAAACAATGCTTGTTTTCAATTTGCATTCATAATAAAACAATTGTGCTATTAATGTTTGTTTTCATACATAACATTTTTCTTGAAACAACAATAAATTAGTAGTAGCTATTTAGGTAAGGTATTTTTTTCTTCATTTATAAAACATTTTTTTCATTACAGGAATGAGGAAAAAGTGCCAAGATCAACTGTTTTATGACCAAAGAAGTATAGCTATGAATTACAGAATGAGCAAAGGGCTAGTGAAGTCTTGTAAAGAAGACATTAGGAAATATCATTGCCGTAAAGGTGTTGTTGATGACAAGGATGTGAGATTGGCACAAATTTTACTATGTTTAGAAAATGTATCCCGCAATGATAGCTTTAAATTAAGTAGTGAATGTACAGCAGAGATGATTGATCACAGAAAGATGCTCATGGATGACTACAGATTGTCACCAGAGTTAATGCAGAACTGTGCTAATGATATCACAGTATTATGTAAAGGTATTGAAGCAGGGGGTAGAACTATTCATTGTTTAATGGATCATGCTAGACCAAGAAAGAGGAAAGACAGAATCAGTGCTGCATGTCAAAAATCCTTGGAAATATTGATCCAAGAAGCTGATCCTGGTGAAGATTGGAGAGTGGATCCAATATTACGCAAAGCCTGCAAACCAGTGGTGGACAGAGCTTGCAGAGAAGTCAGTTATGGAAATGGAAGGGTCATGTCATGCTTGATGGAAAAATTGGGAACAAATTTAATGACTACTGATTGTGAAGCTGCTTTGTTACAAATTCAATACTTTATATCCAGAGACTTTAAGCTGGATCCTCAACTGTACAAGGCATGTAAATATGATGCAGTTACAGTATGTAAAGCTAAACTGCAGTGGGCAGATGCCAGTGAACACCAGTCTGAGAAAGACCCTTTAGTGTTGCCATGCTTATACAACTATGCCTATAATCCTGATCTCAGAGGAAGATTGAAACCAGGCTGTGAGACACAAGTGAGAAGAGTTATGAGACAGAGAGCTATTAGTGTAGACCTAATGCCAGAAATTGAAGATTATTGCATGGATGATTTAATTAATTTTTGCTTTGAAAATACAGGCAAAGGAGAAGAAATATCATGTTTACAAAGTAAAATAAAGGAACTTGGACCAAAGTGTAGAGAAATTGTTACCAATTTTACAGAAACCCAGAGCGGCCATATTGAATTAAATGCTGTTGTTAACATTAATTGTAGAATACCTATTGAGAGGCTGTGCTTGTCTGAATTGAAAAGTAAGAAAGAGGAAGATGATGTTATGGAATGTTTGATTAGTCATAAAAATGACCCAGAAATTAAAGCTAATGTTAACTGCAGAGCTGCTATAGAACACGAGCAACTGATCTCTTTAAAGAATTATCGGTTTACAAGAAAATTTAAGAATGCTTGTAAATCTTATGTGGTTAGATTTTGTCCCAAAGCCCAAACTAAAAGTCAGGTAGTCACATGTCTTAGTGAAATAGTCAGGAATGATACCATTTCAAAGAGAAAGCATACAATATTTAAGGATTGTCGCCAGCAGTTAAGGCAGCAGCTGTTTCAACAAAAAGAGAATATTGATTTAGATCCAGAACTGAAAGAAGCTTGTAAGAATGACTTACAAGTTTATTGTGCCAATGTGCCCCATGGAGAGTCAGCTGCTTTAGAGTGTCTACAGACAGCTAGAGGAAAGTTATCTGATGAATGCAGAAAAGCGATATTTGTTGTGAGGAAGCAAGAGTTTGCTGATAATGCAGTTGACTATCATTTAATTACGAGTTGTAATGATATGATAGACTTGTATTGTCATAATACAGACCCTTCAAAAATTCTAGATTGTTTAAAGGTATTTTTATTTGAACAATTTTTTATGTTTAAATACATATAACATTGATTACTTGTACCTAATTATGCACATTTTTAAATGTTTCAGATTCATCGGCAGGAACTACATTTTGATGAAAACTGCAAAGTGGTCATTGTTAATAGGATGATAGAACAAAATATGGATTACCGGTTTAATAATAATTTGCAGATAGCATGCAAAACGGATATCACGAAATTTTGTTCAGATGTGATTGGTATAAAATCCATTTTTAAATTAGGTAGACATATTTACAAAACTTTAGTAGTAGATTATTTTTAATTAATTTTGTAGTATGATGAAGATCACTGCTTAAAAAACTGCATAGTTTTTTTTCAAAATTGTAAGTAAAATAGAATGTCATGCATTTTTGTTCTGCGGTGTGGCATACTCATCATCATATTTTCATAATAATTTTCGTTGTAACTCCTGACAGCTTATAATTATTTATATGTTTTAAATTGTAGCCAAAGAACCACAAGATATGGAATTGCAAGGCAAAATGTTGTACTGCTTGAAAGAAAAGTTCAGGGAATCAAAATTAACATCATCTTGTGAGAATGAACTGGCAAATGTGTTAAAAGAGCAAGCTCTGAACTACCGCCTGGATCCATTGCTTGGTAAATTGTGCAAAGCAGAAATACAGACAATTTGCACTGTACCAAATGACATAACAAACTCAGATGGACAGGTAAAATAACATTAATCTATTACCTTAATGATTAGAAATCTTGTGTTAGAGTTCAGTTCAAATTTTGTAACTACAATGATATTTCTTTAATACTCTTGTGAAATAAATGTAATAAAAGAGAGAGAGAGAACCTTTATAAATATACTTAATATATTTTGCTTTCACAGGTAGAAGAATGTCTGAAAAATGCTCTCTTGAATCATAAAATAGTGTCAGCCGAGTGTGCACATGAGGTTGCACAAATCATAGAGGAAACTGAAGTAGATATTGAAGCAGATCCGTTGTTGGAGAGAGCTTGTGCTATGGATCTGTTGACATATTGTAAAGACCTTGAGCATGGTGCTGGTAGACGTAAGTTCAAAATAATCTTAGAAAAGTATCATTTCCTTTTCAACATAAACTCCAATAAAAATTATAAGACGCATCATATCATATTGTATTCACTTAATTTGTTTTTTCCAGGTTTAAAATGTCTGAAAATTATTCTGAATGATAGTAATAGAAAATTAGAAGCTGAATGTCAAAAAGCACTTTCCAGTAGATTAGAAATGTATAAACATGTGGCTGCTGTAAGTATTCATTCAAGATGTTTCTTTTATTATAATTTTTATCCATGATAACTTTCAATTTATTTTTTCAAACAGAACCTGGGATATTCATGTATTAGTTTTGAGGTTTTTTTAACCCCTCTATTTTAATCAGCATCAACTATCAAAATTTGTTTTGTATATTAAAATTATTTTTCTTTGTTTCAGTTGAATGTGATAGAAAATTTTGGCGATATGTATAATGAAATATCATCCTCACCGTCTAAGAAATACTTTTTAATTGTAGGCATTTCAATTATAGGATTAATTTTTATATGTGGACTATATTGTGGCAATTTGGCTAGGCAAGCTTTGTATGTTAAAAGGAAATAGATACTATATAATATATAATTTAAAACAATAAAATTCTTTTTAAAAACTTTATTTGTGTTTTGAATTATTCAAGACCGGAAGCCAGTTGTATCCCAATCACAAACTAACAAAATGCTACTGATAACTCAGGTTTGTTTAGGGCTATCAGTACATCCTGCTTCAGTACTGAAATACACTTTAACTAGCATATTTCACCTACATTTTTGAAAGGCTATTGAAAAACAGGAAGTTTTTAGTCTAATAATATTATATGAAGTTTTACATGGCTTCATCAAAATCCATTTCATCCAGTTCATCAATTGGCTCCTTTTTTAATTGGGCTTTTTGAACTTCTTTTTTAATTTCTACTTTAATCTCTCCCTTGGCAATCTTTTGACTTTCCTCAAAGTACTGATTAGGATGATTTATGCCCAACCCCAGATCACAATGATGCACAGCATCAAAGTACTTGCTGCAGGCAATTTGGAAGTGTCCTTTTTTTGTCATGTCTATTATTTCACCAATTGCTGAAACAAAAGAAAATTATAATACAAATAATACTAGTAATACAATAAGATAGTTAATAATACAAACCTTGAGCATCAAAACCGTAACCTTGCAGTCGATTTTTCAATATCCCAACATCACAATGCCTGTAAGGACATCCATGACAATCCCCTGGGCCAACAGTATTATTAATAATCTTCAAACAACTGAATGGAGAATAATTCCTCTTACTACCCTCTTTTCCATAGTTGTATCTTACATTATAAGCATACTGTTTCTCAAATTTATCCAACTCCATTATTTTTGTGAACTCTTCTCTCCAGAATCTGAGTGAATCTTCTAGTGTTACACCTATACCTTTAAGGAATAATCCATACTGCAGTCTACCCCCATGTTTGAGATGGTGGGCAGCTCTCAGCTGATCGTGAAGCTGCCGCATACATAGTGGGAATGATTTTACAGCCAATGAGTCTAGAGTCTCGATAGGTATAACAGCTTTAGCATCACTGTAATCATTGCCTGAATAAGATTGGTGCAATCCTTTCAACAGGGACACTAATCGCTCATCCTGTTCAATTTCTCCAAGGTGGTGACAAGCCACTGCTAAACTTTGTTTCAATTGAGTTCTGTACTGTGCAGAGAGCACAGATATGAAATCTTTATGAGGTATGTAAGCATAACCACCACTCAAATACACTTTTCTCATTTTTACTAGATCTAATACTTCAAAGAACTTGACTTTGAAGAATTTCATATTGTCAATGTTAGGGTGTGGAGTAGACTCTCTCAGGAAATGTATAATTTCACTTTTTTCTTCATCACTGATGTTCGTGTAACACAGATTGTTTAGTTTGAAGAATGTTTCAACAGCTTCACCCCTCATAGTTGCAAATCTCATCTTGAATAGTTCTAATTCTCTTGCAATGAACCATCGCCGTAATTCTTCAGTTCTGCAGTAAGCTAGTCGTAAAATGAAGTGTGCAATGTGGTCTTTGCGTCTTGCCTGTAAATCAGCTTCAGTAGTGGCACAAGATGATTTTTCGCAAAGCTTGGCATAATACTTCAGACCTTGACTTCTTAGTTCACCAATAACGTAGTCTGTCCATTCTTCTGAGTATACACGCAAACCTTTCAATGTAGTTGCTGTAGCTAAACTTCTCAATAAAGTCACTCTTTCTAAAGCTAAAGTTTCAAACTCTTGTAATGTTATATCTTCAGTAGGCGGTATCTTATACATTTGAAGATCATGCGGGTAAGTCTCTACTAGACTTCCCGTGACTGGGATCTTTGTAGATTTTCTTCTAATATTCAAATCCATTATGTTTTAATCAAAAACATTAGCTTACACGATAAACAGCACAAGTTAGTTGATGACACTGTGACACAAATATTTCGCGCCAAACTAAACAAATGTCTAATTGACATTTGCCTCTAATGTCAAATTTCTGTTTTCTTTTGAAGTCATTTCTTTGGATGCTAAGCTTTTTGGTTACTAGTTATATCAAAAGGTTATCTCAATTTTTAATTTAACACAACAATAATTATTAACTAAATAGACAGCGAAAAATTGCTTTTTATAATGTAACTTTGTACTGATTTGGAATTTTAAATAGAGCCTAAAATAAAAAAAGTCTGGAAAATAAATTTGACTCGATGTTACCAAAATTACATGCAATGCACGTAAAGTTATTAAAAAATTAGATAGAAAAATTTTTTGTAACGATAAAGATTCATGATATTTATTATTATAAATTTCTGCACAAAATGGAAAAAACGTGACACGCATGCTTCTTCTTTATGCACACTGTTTCCGGTTTTCCACTTCGTCTCTACCTCTCCCCCCTCCTAATAATTGTCAATCTGTCAAGTTGAGTAAACTCAATAAAATCGAATTTTATTTATATTTTGAATTAGTTTCTTCAGACGAAATAATAAATTATGTTTAACTTTACATTAAATACATAGATAAAGGCCATTATTAATATATTGGTACGGTTTTAAAGTATAATTGAATTATAAAATGGTATCGAACAAGATGCAGTCGTCATTGGACGATTTAGTTCAATATACACAGCTTTTTAAGCCGGTGCCGACTGTTCTGCAAGGGACTGTGCTGCCGTTTTTGATTATATACCCAATTGTGTTTTATTCGTGGATCGTTGTGTATGGATTCGAGGAAAATGTCGAAGCTGGATTCGTCAGTGTTGCAGTCGTCGCAGCTATACAAATCCTCGTTTGTCTCTGTTGCTACTGGAGCGTACACATTCAATGCTTCCTGTCGTGTTCTTCTGTAAGTTATTCAGTGTTTAATACAGGTTAAATTGGTTACTATCAGTCATTTTCTATCTTTGGCGCTGTTGTGGGATGATATGTTACTAATGTCCTTCATTTTTAGGTTAAAGACCCAATTCAGGCGGAGATAGTAAAAGTAGTACCTACGTCGAATAATGGATTTTCTGAGATTGTTAAGCTCCATCACACCAAGGTATGTTGTATATATATAATCATTCATTTCTTTACTACCTACTTAATATTATGTTATCATATTGTTCCTAGTTCACATAAGGGCTTATATGGTTTTTGGTGAATGATCCTAATAAATATAACATTACTCTTGTATTTTATAGTCAACGAAAAAAGGCAGTATACACCCAGATGTCTGGTTTATATTTCAAAAAAGCAAGTATATCTATGATTGGGATAAGAAGTCATTTCATACCATTGAGTTCCCAATCAATAAGACTTATGAGGAGTACATGGAATCCAAAGGCTATTTGGACGATGAAGCCATTGATATTGCTGAAAAAGAGTTTGGAAAAAATGAAATGATAATGGTAAGTGTATTGTAAAAGCATTTGAAGAAATCAAAAGGTATTATTAGTAAGGGGCAATGATGTGGCTGTGGAAATGATTAGTTTGGATTATGTCTTTGTTATAAGAGGCTCTAAGCTTAGCAAAAAGACTTTTGCACTTTAAAACATTCGGATATATGTCCCCTCTCATGTTTTATTGATAACAAATGTTATGTACTGGTTGCCACATGACTTCTTTCTGTGAACTTACTTGTATATTCTCTTTTACTATTTTATAACTATAAAATAGTCAAAATATTCTCTCAAGAACAGTGTTTTAAAGTTTTTTATGCATTTGGAGCCTCTAGCCTATTGAACCATCTTATGTTATTCAAAACAACAATAAAAAAATAAACTCATATCTATTACAATAGGTATTGTCTTAAGAAATACTTATTTTGCTATTCTATTGTCTCTTGATTAGTACACTCTGACATGGCAGTCTCTCTTAGTAACACTTCTAATTAAATTAAATGCATGCATGAAAGTGCAAGAAGCTAATTGGATGATATGTGTTATAAATATACTAAGACAATCTGTCCTTCTAAAGAAAAATCAATTATTATTTATAACAAAAGGTTATATATTGCCCAAACTTTCCTCAACTAGGTTTTGTTTTATTCCGTCTTGTAATTATGATAATACAAGATAGATAAGCAGGTCATCTCAATTTAGTACCTTGTCCATTTATAACTCATTTTAATTTTATTTATTTGCTTACCAATTTTATTATAATATCATTATACATTGAAGTGACAACAATCCAGTTATATTATTGAGTAAGAATATTTGTGGAATTCTATGTGGTGCTAAACTAAAATGGACTTTTTTGTTATAGTGTATCTACAATGATTGTTTCAGGTTGTCCCAGAGTTCATGGAATTATTCAAGGAACGAGCAACTGCCCCATTTTTTGTTTTCCAAGTATTTTGCGTCGCATTGTGGTGCTTAGACAAGTACTGGTACTACTCCATATTCACATTAGTGATGCTTGTTATGTTTGAGTGTACCTTAGTACAACAACAACTAAGAAACATGGCAGAGATCCGCAAGATGGGGAACAAACCTTACAATATTAATGTGTACAGAAATAGGAGGTGGCGCCAAATAATGAGTGATCAGCTTCTACCTGGCGATGTTGTCTCTCTCATACGATCCACCAATGACAACTTAGTACCATGTGACATTGTCCTCCTCAGAGGTTCCTGTATAGTAGACGAGTCCATGTTAACTGGTGAAAGTGTACCCCAAATGAAGGAAGCTGTGGATAATGAAAAGAATTTAAAACAACAGTTAGACCCTGAGGGTGAAGGCAAACTGCACATGCTGTTTGGTGGCACTAAAATCGTACAACATTCGTCGCCCAACAAAAATACTTCATCAGCTCTTAAGGCTCCCGACAATGGCTGCATCGGTTACGTAATCCGCAACGGGTTTAATACATCACAAGGCAAACTTTTAAGAACTATTTTGTTTGGTGTGAAAAGAGTTACGGCAAACAATTTGGAGACATTTGGTTTCATTCTTTTCTTGCTGATCTTCGCAATTGCTGCCGCAGCGTATGTCTGGATCAAGGGTTGTGAGGACCCCGAAAGGAATAGATACAAATTGTTTTTAGAATGTACATTGATTTTGACCTCAGTTGTACCACCAGAACTGCCTATAGAGTTATCACTGGCTGTGAACACATCACTATTATCATTGTCCAAGTTAGCAGTATTTTGTACAGAACCTTTCAGGATACCATTTGCAGGAAAAGTAGAAATTTGCTGTTTTGATAAGACTGGTACACTTACGAGTGATAATTTAGTTGTAGAAGGTGTGGCCGGAATAGAGGACCACAAAGATGCTACAGTCATTCCATTATCTCAAGCACCCATGGAGACTATACAAGTGCTGGCCTCGTGTCATTCTCTAGTTCAACTGGACGATGGCGTGGTAGGAGATCCGTTGGAAAAAGCGACTCTGAAAGCTGCAGAGTGGAACCTGACCAAAGGAGATGCTGTTGTGCCAAAGAAAGGAAAATCACCTGGCCTGAAGATAGTTCACAGAAATCACTTCTCAAGTGCCCTTAAAAGAATGTCGGTGATAGCTGGCTATCAGGTCAACGAGCGAGGATTTATGGAAACGCATTACATAAGCAGCGTCAAGGGTGCGCCTGAAACTGTGAAGACCATGCTCAAAGAGGTCCCCAGTCACTACGACCACGTCTATCTGACTCTCTCTCGCCGAGGGGCACGTGTGCTGGCTTTAGGTTATAGAAATTTAGGCAAATTAAGTTCTCAACAAATTAGGGACATGTCCCGCGAAGACATAGAATCTGATCTGACATTTGTTGGCTTTGTAATTATTTCGTGTCCTTTGAAGAGTGACTCTAAGAAAGCGATATCGGAAATTGTGAATGCTTCTCATTCTGTGGTGATGATAACCGGAGACAATCCATTGACGGCATGCCATGTAGCTAAGGAGTTGAAGTTTACACAGAAAGAGGAGGTTCTGATTTTGACAGAGACTGAAAGTAAGTGGGGATGGAAATCGATAGATGAGGAAGTGAATCTGCCCGTGAACCCGTTCAAAACGTCGAAACAGTTGACTTCGAAATTTGATTTATGTATAACGGGAGAAGGTTTGACATTCCTAAATGAGAATCATCACAAATTTCTGTTGGAGCTGATGCCGCATATCAAGGTGTTCGCTAGATTCGCGCCAAAGCAGAAGGAGTTTGTCGTGGTGACGTTGAAGTCGCTTGGCTACGTGACGCTCATGTGTGGTGACGGTACAAACGACGTGGGAGCTCTGAAACACGCTGATGTGAGTGCAACTTGTACATCATACTATTTACTGTAATTGTAGGTGCTATTACATTACTTGCATTATCTGCCAAAATTGTCATATCAAAGTGCGAGATGAAATCAGAAGATCAAAAATACATTTCTAATTAAATTAAAGAGTTATCAATATCATTGTCAAAAATAAAAAAAAGCAATACATAGCTTAGATCAGCCTAGTTTGTTTTAGAGGACTTATGTGAAGGTATATGACAAAAATAATAATTATTATTCAAAATTTTTACTTATAGGTAGGCGTAGCAATCTTAGCGAACGCGCCAGAGCGGCCGCGGGAAAAGCCACGGGAAGAGCGAGCGCTAGAGGAAGCTCCACGACGCAACACGAGTCGCGCCGACGCACGCGCAGAGGCGGCCGCGCGCCTGCGCAGAGCCATGCGCGAGCTAGAGGAAGAAGATATGCAACTCGTACGCCTTGGAGACGCCAGTGTCGCTGCACCATTCACCAGTCGACTTTCTAGCATATTTTGCAGTAAGTATCTATTGAAAAATTAGAGTCAAGCATCGGCACGAATAGGTTGTCTCGACCGGAGTGATACCAAGGCCTCACAGAGAACCGGCGTGAAACAACCACAGCGTTATGTTTCGCCGTATGGGTGAGATTACTGGGGGCCCAATCCCTCCCCCTCCCCATCCCTTCACAATACTTTAATATCCGAAACCTTTATCTCTAAAAGGCCGGCGACACACTCGTAGCTTTGATTAGATGTTGCGGGTGGCGGCG